TGATACACATAATTCTTCATTTCTGGCCTTTAGTAAAAATACCAAGTTTCGAGTTAATCTAAATGCGCGTTAATATAAATCCATATAAAAACTTCGACACCCTCCCAATCCCATTTAGGGGGTAGTTATGGAAAACTAAAAATGACAACTTGACAAAATGACTTTATAATTTATATAGATAAGTATTCGTGTAAAGTTTGAAGTCTATTAACTCAAGGAATAATATTTTTCATACAAACTTTTATCCTGAAATGAATTTTGAAAAATCCTTTCTTAGTGCACCCCAGGCCCTCATAAGGAACCTATGTGCCAAATTTGCAGTCTCTAGACCAAGCGGTTTGGGCTTGATATGTGAGTCAGTCAGCTATTTCTTTTATATATTTAGAAAGATGTTGACATCTAAATTCGCTAGTATATTTTCTCAGGTAAGTAACTCAAAATCCACGGTGTATCTCAGCTAAAGGGATTGCTCGCCGAAATACATGTTTCTGAAAATAACTATGAAGTCAGTCAACTTGTTATTGGAAACTTAGGCAGGATGTTTAGTACAACTTTTACCAATGGGCGATAACGCAGCGTACCAAAAGATACAGAAACACTCGCTGTTCGTCTAGCGAGTGATTTATCAGTGGGGAAACCAGATTTGTATGCTGTATTCATGAGTAAATCTGCGGTTACATTTAGCTTAATTGCTACGCTGACTGAAGTTATACTTTGTGAAGTGCTATAATTATTGCTTGCTTTAAAAGATGTGTTGTTTATCTTTCCTATGTAACGTCGTCAACTAACGTAACCACTGATGCAGTTTTCGCTTTTACTAAATCACGTAGTATGTATTGGTACAGGTTATGTAAATATGAATTTAAAGACAGCTCATATTTCTCAATTCTTTAAAAAAGTTGTTTTGTTCAATTTTAAGAAAGTAAAGGAAAAACTAAACACATTATTCTGTTATTTTTTCACCTAACACATTAGTGCTTATGCATATATTTTTATAGTAAAGTACAGAGCAAAACTTTTAAGTAACTGTTAATAACACAGATGAAATCAGAAGCAGATACCTCATCACAAGCGATATTAATAGACTGGCAAATGTACTTGTCGACAAAACATGAAATCACTTTAAATCGCACCGACATATTTCAATTAAAAGTAATCTATTTCCTAAAGAAAAAAAGAACAAAAAACTTGGACATGTTATTTTCGCTACACTACACACGCACAGTAATGGACAATTTGCGATGACTCGACTAAATTATTGATGAAATCAATTTTATCTCAATTATTGGCCGCAGCAAATATGATCTTGTCGTATTTCAATTCCGTATTACGAGTCCATTAGTCGGTAAATCTTAAAAGTGTAATTAAAAATACCACAGAATCATATATAATGAATTGGTTCTGATCTTTTACTATTTTTACAGACCGGACGGACGTCCGATGAAGTAATACAGACGAAGTTGATGAAAAAGATAATTGATTTGGCATTATGCAATCAAGCCCATAAAAGCGTGGACAGCTTTAGAAACAATCCGTATTTTGTTGGTTTAAGATCCAGTGTCATGTAACACAAAAACACAATTAAATGTTCTTAAAGTAAAACAATTGAAAGCGTAGCAAAATTATCGAAGTATTACAATTTTCTACACTAATTGGTACTAAAAAAATTCGCATTAGACATTAGAACATCTAAGAAAGAAGTAAAAAAACTTATTACTCGGGAAGTGTAACGTATGTTTCTGGATTAGTAATATCTAAAAAATAAAAACATTAGTTTCTAGCGAAGTTTAAATACGAAAGTATTATTTTATAATTAATTGAAATTTTCTTATCTCAGGTAACCCAATCAATCGTGACCTAACGCGACGCGTCAAGCGCGACGGACATGTACGTAATCGATATACTGAAAGCAGCTTTCCTCTAAGGAAAATTCTGAAATAGACATCCATTACTTCTTGTTTGAATGCTTTCCTATTACTAATTTTCTGTTCCGGTACAATTAAAAAGTAGATAGATATACTTAAAAAAACAAAGCACGACGTAAGACGATGTTACTTTATACGACGAGGATTTTGATATATGAAATATTTTATTTTTTATTCGGTGATCTAAAATGTCGGGTCCTCTCTATCAATGAAAACACCACCTCATTCGGTGAAACAACCACAAAAGGGTTCTTAAATCATCAACATCCTATATAAACATGGCAATATAAAGAAACTGCAACCGAGCCGGAGTCAATGACACCGATATTGTAGTACAAACAGACTCGTAAACAACGAAACATTTTGAGTTCCTATTGCATTAGAACATGGCAGAGAATCGCATGGAAAATATAAGGAGTGGTCGATGGAAGCTACTGGTTCTTTGTTGGTGTAGGTCTGTCCATATTGAGAATGTACATTACGATTATATGTAGATGGATAGAATGTCTCTACAGTATTTGTTCACACCTGACTCTGTTGGGATGATTTTATTTCACAGTAAACAATAGTTAAATTATTCTTAACATTTAATTCCTTTAGGTTAAAATTGATAAGTAAAACCCGGAACAAATTCAAGTCAGAGTAATATGGGGTCAATTTCCAGATGAACGACATTAATAAAGAATCATTCAAAAATTTGATATTATTGACAATGCCAACGATTTTTATTTAAATAGTACCTACACTGTTTACTATCACCTTTTATTTTAGATGACCTATACATACGATAACTTTATTACCAAAATATTCCTATCCATCATTTTAATATGATTATAATCATGGATCGCAAAACGAATAAAAATGGGCAGATAATATTTACAATTATGCAATGCGACGCTGTCCGCGGATGGTGTTAGATATATGTATTTAAAAAATGACGAGTCTTGTGTAACCAGTCATTATTCATAGTTAATTACTACAGTGATACAATCTAGTTTACAAAGGCCATGATAGTAATACTGGCGTAGCATCTTTCTGAGAAACTGGACTGTGACTGATTGTCGGATATTTATGCAGATTCACTCGTTAAAAACCGGTTAGATGTTCAAGAGCTATAATATCAAAACATTTACGCGTGCGTTGAGTGAAAATACTTTCACACCATGTCCTAACAAGTGGCTGCAAATTTATGTTTTCCTAGCAAATATTGCGTTGACAATCTTCCAAGCCGAGTAGCTAACATACCTAACCCGGCATTATCCATTTATGAGATATTACTTATTGTATGTTAGGTTGGTGATTGATAATAAATTGCCTGGTGTAAGTTGTGGTATTGTTCTTATTACTGATGTCAATAACATCAGCTATAAGGTTAACACACCTATTATGATAATCATGTCGATTCCGCCGTGATTCTCTAAACCTAAACTAAAATTTGACAACAGTGTATCCCTGTTATTTTCAATACAGAATGAAAAGAAGTGACAGATGTTCAAATTAGTTTTAAGTTTATATAATCAAGTGAGTATTCAATCTCGCCTTTATTTTGTATTAATGGGAATATTTTGTACTTTGTTACTAGTCTACCTGTTAATTACTTGAAAAAGCACTGCGGTCAAGTTTTCTTTTGTTTACCTGAAGATATTTCCAGAACATGAACGAACCTTAAAATTTAAACAGATATTAATAACATCACACGTGCCGCATTTAAAAAGCTTTAACAATGTATATGAGACGTCATAATTTTGATTACACGTTTGCTCAGATGTTTTAAATACGCAGTTCTATAAAAGCCGCGTCCAGACCGGCCGAGCACGGCAGGAATTGTTATATTATGCGCATAAAAAATAAAAGGTACTGGAATTGTTCAACTTATTTATAAACATAAATTAATTATATTTATAACCGAAATGCATATTAGATACATAATGTTAAAAAAGAGAACGATAACGACTGATATTTTATTGTTTGTCGTGCAACAAAACGCATATGCCATATTTTCGTTCTTCTCGTAACGGGAACAGTAGGTACACATTATTTAAATATTTTGTTTCGTATCCGCAAGGTTTACAAAGTAATAATTAAATCAGTACGCGAAAAAAAGTCATCTAGATTTTTTCATAAATTTAATATTACTGTAAATGGTGGGTCAGAGAATCTGGCATTGTCATTTGCCTCGGGTTCCACAGCTAATAAGGAGCTTTCATATTTACCTTGGCCTTCTTCTCTTCACGCATGTCATCCTAATGACCACGACCAAAGTCATTTGTCTTATTTACGTCACAAAAATTTTAATATCGCACTCTTATATTGATGTTGACAATTCAAGTCATTAAATAAACCAACACTTATGGTATTCCGATCGCATATTACAATACATCCGTTATGTCGGCCTCGAACAACATGAATCGTGACCAATCGTAAGTGACTTGCGTTGGTAACTTTAATAACTAAACTGCGATTACTTTTGTGAAGAAATTGTATTTATTATGCAATATTATCAAAATGATTGGCAATCAAGGGCGTGATCGTAATTAGCCAATTATACAAATAATTGTGATTATATTGAGAAATTTTGGTAGAATAATAAAGTATGATATTGTAATTATCGGTCGTAGTATGCAATATGTTACTGGGTTAGTAAGGAAACAGGGTAATAATGAAGAAACATAATTAGGTGTCACAATGAGAACGTACGAAAGATGGGTCACACGATTAAAACTAGGTAGGTGGACAAATCCTCAAATCCTCAACTGGGCTCTTATTCTATTAAGTTTTTATAATAGAAACGAAATCGTATGAATAATCGCGTAGGGATAAATATAAGAGGAGTGTCTTACATTAACGGTTCCAAATCCTGCATTCCTATAAACAGCAATGTCTTTATTCAAAAATAAAGGGAATTGAACTCTTTCCTGTCCAACTAAAATGCAACGTAAAACTGGGTAGATAAACGTAAGACGCAGCCATCGAGATATTAGCTGCACTATTGCATTTTTCTCTTTCTAGAGAGTTGTTAATTTCATGCGAGTATCGCTCAGTTCATTCTGAATGTGTTGATAACAAACAACTAACCTCTCCTCCAACATTTCGTTGAACGTCTTGGACTTGCCACGAGGCTGGCACGGCTCGTTCTCCATGCGGCGCACCTCGACGCACCGCTCGATGATGTGCTCCACGCGCTTCCGTCGCGACGACTTCCAATTATCCAAGTTCTGAAGCAAAATAATAATGAACATTTAGATCAAAACAGAAACAGAACTGGTTACATGAACTTAGGCAAACCGCTGATGCGATGGACAGATGATATCATGAAGATAACTGAAAAGTACTGGATAAAAATAGCACAAGGTCGGACTGAATAGCACGGCCGAAGGCGGCCTACATTCAGATTGGATGGCTATGGGCTGAAGAAAAAGAAGACATCAAAGCAAAAACTCTTCTGGTCTGAGGAAGGCACGTTTAGCCGTAGGTCTCGACAGCATCTGCAGTCGTTATCACCTACCAACCAGCACTGTCTGGTGGATCATTAGCCAATTTCTACATTCCATCGATACGGAAAGCCTGTACCCCAGCATTGGGGACATTAATAGTCTGATGATGATGATATTAAAATACTAGGAACTGGCGCATTTAAACGCTGACGAGGTATCGAACATTCTTAAACGGTGGGTTGCATACAAAAAGCTCCTCGAAACCCACGCAAGATTTGTCATTCATTTACATGCTGCACCTTGTGTTTACTGTCCAAGGCCTGACACGTGTGTAAACGCGACTTTTAAGTAAGACTGAAGCGCCATAATAGTCTTTAGTATTTTTATTCCTGCGAATGAAGTCACCAAATCTCTATATGAGATTAGGATACAGGCCAGCAAGCTGATTGATCACTTCGACAGCTGATACAAATACTTATACATGTATCGTGGAAAGTGTTATACTAGGGCTTCTATAAATACAGATCTACTCGGTTTGGTACTACTGTTCGGGTTCCCTGAATTTTATGCTTTTATTCGATTACTACTTCATAATTTAGTTCCTTAACAACCTTACTATATCACTAAATATAAGTATAAAGTGTAGCGGGATCTGGTCTATGAAATACATAAATTACATTTAACTCATAGGTTATCTTGACAGATTGATATAGAATTAGATTTCATAGATACCCATTGAAATTCATTGCACGATTGCAATGAATCCATAGCAACAATTGATTTACAATTGAAAGTAACTGTTCGGACATTGATTTAAATAGATCTTTATTTACAAAAGGCATTAAAGCAGCAATGTTGCCATTACGGTTTATTGTTTTGCCCAATGAATAAAACAGAGGTTACGTCCGAACTTATGATGTACTTTTCGTGACCGCTGCGATCGAAGCGGCATTTCCCGAGGCAATTCTAAGTCTTTCGCTATCACTCTCTCTAGTTACACTATTTAAATTATCATTAGTTTATAAGAAAAATCTACCAAATAGCTTGACAAACGTGCCATCAGTCACAGTTCTTTGATTACGATTTGCATCAGTAAATTTATGACCTATCTCAATTAAAGTGATTACTATCCAGCTGTGCGAACGTGCAAAGTACAATCGTGATGCAATTACAATTATGTCTTTCTCGTTACGAAGTATACTAATAAATAATCTCGATCCATTTAAATTAGTATCAATGTTAATAGAAGACGTTAAATTGTATAATGCTAAATAGGCAAACGAGTTTCGTTGAGCTTCCATTATGCAGTTATAATATGATTTTATAAGATATTCACCGCAATGCCGTCTTATAGTAGGGGAGCCCATGATGCTTATTAGGGATTTACTCGAGCGTCGTTGGGACCTATTGGATTGTGAAGGTTAAATGCTAAAAAAAACTTTAGAAATGAAATGAAATGAAATGAAATGAAATGTCATTTATTCAGTCTAGGCTGTTACAAGCACTTGTGAAGGTCAAGAAGCTACGCCATCGGTTCGCAAAACTACGGCGGGAGACCTTGTACTGAGAAGAACCGGCAAGAAACTCAGCAAGGGCTGCTTTTTTCTCCCTGTATTGATATATACAGAGTCGTCAAGTTGAAAAATGATTTCAGAGATACATCTGAAGTCACCTTCCATTACATTATTAAGGATATAGATATATAGTTACAATAAATTTTATATTTAGTATATAGGAAGCGGCATTAGATAGGTACCATATTACTGTTTCAAAAACTGACTCAAATAACAAATTACAAGAACCACTATGTCCATGCATTTCGATCATTTAGATAATCATTAACTTTATAATAGCCCTTATTCATAAGAGTATTCTTAATCTGAGATTTAAATTTGGTTAGTGGAAGCTCAATCAGATCTTGGGGAACTTTGTTAAACAATGCAATACTACATCCCAGAAATGAACCTCTTGATTTTTGGAGTCTGAAACATGGAACGGCAAGTTTGTTATTATATCTCGTGTTAAAGTTATGGGTTTGACTTTTTTTTGTAAATGCGTCATAGTTTTTTCTTACATATACTAAATTTTCATAAATGTATTGCGATGCCAGTGTTAAAATATTAATTTCTTTAAATTTTTCTCTAAGAGATTCTCTTGCCTTTAAATTATATATGGCGCGAACAGCTCTCTTTTGCAGTACGAAAATACTTTCTATATTAGCAGCTGAGCCCCACAACAAAAGGCCATATGACATAACGCTATGAAAGTAACCAAAGTAAACCAATCTTGCCGTTTCCACATCAGTTAGAAGTCTTATTTTTTTAACAGCAAAAGCCGCAGAGCTCAGTCTACTTGATAAGGCATCAATATGAGGATCCCATTGCAAATGCGAGTCTAAAGTAATACCCAGAAACTTTGTAGAATCCACTAACTCTACAGGCTGGTCATTTATTTTTAAACTAGTATTAACCTGCCTCACATTAGGTAAAGTAAACTTAACACATTTTGTTTTACTAGAGTTTAGTTTTAAATTATTTACCGTAAACCAGTGAAGGACTTCAGAGAGAGCACAATTTACTTCGTCATAACAATCATTTCCTCTCCTAGCTTTAAACACTAAAGAGGTGTCATCAGCAAATAGTACTGTCTCACACAAATCTCTTGTAAAGTGAGGAAGGTCATTAATATAAATAAGGAAAAGCAATGGGCCCAATATTGAACCCTGGGGCACGCCCATAGAAATGGGTGCTCCTGTAGACTCAGCTTGATTTATAACCACTTTCTGAATCCTAGCAGAAAGATAAGACTGTATCAGACTTAGTGAAATATTTGATACACCATAATGCTTCATTTTATTTAACAATGTTTCATGGCTAACGCAGTCAAACGCCTTAGATAAATCGCAAAAAATGCCAATAGCATCGTGCTTACTCTCCCATATATCAAAGATGTGTTTGAGAAGTGCAGTTCCAGCATCAGTAGTACTTTTGCCTCTAGTGAAACCAAACTGTTTTAAATGAAGTAGCTTATTTATAGAAAAGTGTGCTAGTAATTGGTTATAAATTATTTTCTCAAATACTTTACTTAGCGCTGGTAATACAGATATAGGCCTAAAATTGCTGGGATCTGATTTGTCACCAGCCTTAAAGAGAGGGATAACTTTAGCACATTTCATTAGATCTGGAAACACTCCCTCATCAATACATTTGTTAAATATAATGGCCAGTTGTGGCGCAATGACAGTGATAATCGGTTTTATTATATATGTTGATATTCCCCAATAATCCTCTGTCTTTTTAATTTTAATTGAATTAAAAGTTTTTATAATACAATCACTACTGATATGTCTAAAATGAAAATCATTACTGCACTTATCAACACTTGACTCAAGGAGGGTCATTGCTAACCTAGAACAAGAATTAAGATTTCTAGTTGTTTCAAATGGTGCACTAGAAAAGAAATTTTGAAAAGTGTTTGCAACGGCATCATCTGTCCTAATAATCTTATTGTCTATTTTTAAAGAATATGTGTGTTCATTAAATTTATTTCTTCCAGTTTCATTATTAATTATATTCCAAGTTGTCTTTATTTTATTATCGGAAAGACTAATTTTTTTAGATAAAAACTTAGACTTTGCTATGGCACACACCTTTTTAAAAGTTTTTGAATAGTTTTTGACATATTCTATAAACTTAGGATCAGATGAGGTTGCCTTGAGAGCATATAATTGATACAACTTATTTCTACTTTTGTAAATACCCGGTGTGGCCCAATCACTAAATTTCTTTTTAGAGCTATGGCATTTAATTAATTTGCGTTTAAATATTTTATTGAATTCATCTTTAATTAAATTGAATAAATCTTCATACAAAATATTATTATTATTACAAACTGGTAAGTTCGATATTTTGTGATAAACGTTATCTTGAAATTTATTTATCCCCGTTTGTGTAATTGGTCTACAAGTTAGGTCATGTTTGGGTGAAGCATGATGGTGTTCAATAGAGGCTAATTGTCCACTATGATCAGAATTAATACAATTTATTATTGATTTATTAAAAACATTTCTATTACAAAAAATATTATCCAAACAGGTTGCTGATGCATGTGTGATGCGGGTAGGCTCAAAGAAAAGATAATGTATATTATGTATATTTGCAACTTTGTGACTCTCCTTTATTTATGTCACGCTCAAATTGTCAGATTATTGTAATGCACGCTTTTCTGTATACATGTAATTAACTTACCTTACTTTAATCTGACGCGCTCGAGTTTCTCCAATGATCGATTTTTTGTTACTAATCTGATCGGCTGCCCTGGACGTTCGACACCATATAAAGGGCTAAGGTATGGCGGGAGTACTTCACAAGATGCAAGGTTTTTCCGCTTATGTTAATCTGCCGCACTCGAGTAAATCCAGAAATCCCCGCTAGGGCTCCCCTACTATTAAGAATTATAACAGGATAATCTACATCGATAAACATTAACTGGACATGTGCAGAATCATTGTGATGTAAATTTAGTTAGTACCTAGCCTCAGACAGTAACTATAACAATGAATTATATAAATAAATATTTCCAACACACAACGCTAATTGGTGTGCAATTAGCCTAGCCCCAAAGTAAGCACTATAAGGCTAGTGTTATGGGATACTAGGGTAACGGATAGAATACATATACTGTACATATATAAGTATATTTATATAGAAAATACATATTAAACATCCATGACTGGAGTACAAATGCTCGTATTCATTACACAAAGATCTGTACCCACCGGG